GCGGCCTCTTCGCTGTCGCACTCCGGCGCACAACGGTACTTGTCCACTCTCTCCTTCCGGGCCTCGCGCACAGCTGACGACTTCTCAACGTCCGGCTGTGCCGCCCTTCAAGGGAATCCAAGTTCTCCTTGTGCCTTGGTGCCCCGCCGTCTCAGGTCGTGGATCGGTTAGCACGAAGCGCTGCCTCAACTTGGGCACTCCGCTGGCTCCGAAACTAGTTGTAAGGGGCAAAACTGCCGGAGGCAGTTTTGCTCGGCGATTTTTGGTCGGGCAGCAGCTCAGGTTTGAGCGCGGAGACAAAGGCACAGAACCGCAGCAAACTTGGATTACAATGTTCACCTTGGATAGCTTTAAATAGCCGTCCAAGGGCGGGGTTTAGGCAGGCCACCCGGCACATGCCAGATTGGCAACCTTATGATGTTCAGATGTTCGAATTCAAACCCCTCCCGTGAACCCCGTTTTGTCCCGTGAGTCACCATGACTAATCCCAACGTCATTATCACCCAATCTCAGCGGCGCACCCCGTGGGTCTGTCCCACGCGCCTTGACCCTGAATGGCACCCGGCTTGGTGTGCATCTCACACCCTGTTCCGTCTATATTAAATATCTATTGTACAACCCGTGCCCGTTTGGCACGGCTCAGAAACTATGGTACAATGACTACCCATGCTATTGTACAATGATGTCCCGTATTGTACAAGCCCTCAAACGGCTGCCCTCACAGGGGGGGCCCTTGGCGTGTTCGCGGGGATGTGCCTCCGGTTGATGTCGGTGCCGCCTGACTTTCCGTCCCTGGGCCTGCCATATGGCGTGCCGGCACACCTAGGGGTGTCAAGAGGCGTATGACCGCCTCCTGATACGGTCGCCCCCCCCGGATGACCGGCACCATGGACTCCACCTTGCGTAGAGCAGGGCACTGGTAGGGCCCCGAGAGTGGGAGCCACTCATCAGGCCCCCACTCCTCGAGGGGCTTCTGCCAGACCATTGCCCACGCCGTGGCAGAGGGATGGAGAGCCATGGCCGGAATTATTGGCCAAGCTCTCCGAACACCCTAAGTATTGCGCACCGAAACAAAATGCAACCATCCTAAAGTACAGCACTTATTCAACGTTGTGCTAAAGTACACCATAAATGGGATGTAACAACTCCTTTTTCGGCAACTGTCAGATGGTTGCACATCCATTTTTCAAGGATTAGTCAAGGGCTCATGGTAGTCAAATTCTAAACATGCTTTTTCAGCATGGTCTCCTCCGAAAAATTCATGGATTCTATTTCCCTTCCAGAAACTAATCCTACAACACCTCACAATCCCACAGCTCCTTTTCAGGATCTGCTGTATGGTTGTACACATCCCTTTTTAGGGATCAGTCATGCAACCATTGTAGTCAAATGTCAAACATGCTTTTTCAGCATGTTCCCTCAAACAGGTCATGGATTTCCGTTTTGCTTCAAAGACTATCCTTGCAGCCACTCACAATCTCGTAGCTCCCTCTGTCAGGAGCAGCACCACTTTTTCAGTGGTGAACACAAACCATTCCTGCCCAATTTCAAGGGCAGCACCACCTTTTCAGTGGCAGCCGAACTCCAACCACTTTTTCAGTGGCGAGTACGATTTGCAACAGGTCAGAGACACCAAAAGGATGCACGAGCTGGAAAGGCACTTCAGCTCAGTGCTATGCCGGGGAAAGAGACATTCCGGCATGTTCCTTAAGGCGCATGCCCTGTAAAATGAGCGGCTAGGGACACAGCCCCACAAATGCACATTCGGGTGACTCCATGGCTGGAAAGAGACACCAACCAGCAGAGTACAATCTCATGTACGCCCAGCCCAATCATGGACACTCCGACTGGTTCAAAACTCCTTGTTCAGGAGTTTTCCCCCTTTCCTTTTTGCATTTCTTCAGTTTTGTCACTTGTTTAGTGACACACCAGAGCGTCATGATAAATTCAACGTCTAAGACCACCGAAGAATGGGCAGGTTTGGCAATGCACCAACACAACCCCATGTTGAGGCAAGATACTTCCCAGCATGTTTCTTGGCACCTAAACGCCTGACCAACACAGCCCAAAACACCATTCTGTGGCTGTTAAATTAGATTCTACCAATAGCTGGAAAGAGAACATCAGTTTATGGGATCAAATTTGGACCAAAGTCACGTGATGAAATGCCTAGCAACACAGCCAGTACGTATGTTTTCTCCACAGCAATATTTGAGCTGTGGGTGACTGATGAACAGACCGAACACATGCAGCCTTAGCATGGGGTAGTCCACCCTGGAAAGAGCCATCAGGTGTGGGCCCAAGCTTTCGGTCATGCATGGTTCCTAACAGCCTTTTTAGGCCAAAAACGTCTAAGCCATGAGCGAGCAGCTTTGAGGATAGACACACGCCCAAGCTGGGCAATATCCTTATTCAAGATACATGGCCCCACCAGAAATTGAGAGCCGCGGTCAATACTTGGTGAGGCAACTTTCATTGAAATACTCTTGCTGCATAGGGTATTGTTCACTCGTCACCAAGCTTCCCTTGAGGCATAAATTCCTCCCTGTTCTCACAAACAGCTTGCCATATTACTACAAACGCAAGCACTTGACCAGTTTTTGTTTCTGTTTTTGTCTTTTTCTCTTTCTAGTGGTGGTGGCATACTCGGGCCCTCCCACAGTCAGAATGCGTGTCAGATGTGAGTCCCTCGCCAGCTGAGTCATAAGTGATCCACCCAGTGAAACTAAGGTCATTATGCAGCTGCGCGAACAATGTCACTATCGTTCAATGCCTTGCACAGTATTGCCGTATTGCAAGGGCATCGAAAGAAGGATTGACGTTGGAAGGGAAAGATCCATTCCATGCCGAAAGTAAACAGAAAATAGAAAAAAGGGGAGGAGGGGGAGTGAGGGGCGACCGCTGAGCACTAGAACACTGAAGTCCCCAAATGGTTTCTTCCCTGTGCGCCAATCCATATGCCGATACGAATCATAATCCGTACTTGGATACCCAGTGTTTGGACACCTAGCCATTGGGCCTGCACATTGCAAACCCCAGAGCACAGCCGACAAAATGGTTACATGTTACATTCACAAGCCGGTACAAAAGCGCAGGGCACACAGCGTGTTTGCTGCCCAAGACCGCTACCCACCCAGTGCCCCCTGCCCTACACATTCCAGCTGCACAGAAGGGCAACGGCTACAGAAGTGGCATGCCGTCTGCACACCAGAGCAAAAAACTACAGGCATCTACACAGATCCCATCTATGCCGAAGACGGGCCAGCACTGCAGGCACCCCGCAGCAATCTTGAAAACCGGGTGCGCCAACCGAGGCCGTTGGCTAGTACAGGTGCTGACCTAAAAGTCAGTCATACATCCCACTTGATACCAACTCATTTGAAGCCCTCCGGTATGAACTGACTAGGGACTACTCCCAGCGATGCAGCACTATTCAGTTGCAGGGGCTTTCCATCTGGGGCACAGCCTCCTGCGCAAGAATACAAGCAACTCAGCATCATGCGCCACAGTGAAAACTGAAAACCATGCCGTTCACAACGCGGAAGACAGCGACCTGGCCTGTCATGGAGGCGGACCTGGCCTCCAAGTGCAACCAGCCAGCAGGCAAAGCTATGGCCAGTCGAGGCACAGAATAACCACAATTCACAGTGCTTGTATCACATAGCAGCACCAAAGTTAGTAAACACAGCTGACTTCGGCTACAACTTTCCTACAATTTAACAATCAACAAGATTGTACAGTCAAAGCCAGGTCATCACATTCACTGCATTGGTGGGCCACCACGTTCCCCACTGGTCTAAATTGTTGGTGAGAAATGCGTGTTCCCGTATCTCTGGAGGCTCCTCCACTCTATCCCAAGAATGGCCTACATTTCTTGTCAAAGAATGTAAACACAAATGCCCCACTACATCTGGATATAGTTGCCATGGACCGGGGTAGGGACATATAAACCTGCGCTGTTCAGAGTCACCCTGCATGACATGGCAACCAGTGCGGGGGGTTTAAAGCAACGACAAACAACATACCTGTTGCCACATATTGCAACCAGTTCATTCCCTCCGATGAGTGAATACTGCCCATGCTCATCAGCAACTGCCTGGCCATCTGGTTCCTCAGCATGTCGCCCCCCGCAACGCCTGTTCCTAGGACATCCCCCATGCCAGCCACAGCTGCTGGTGGCACTGGCGGCCTGCTGCACTGCGCCTGCAGCACCGATAGCAGCACACCCGTCCTGGTGGAGCTGCTGGCATCAGTGCCACCACCAGGAAAGGGGGCATGGACTGGCAGGAAGGCTGCAGCACCCTGTGGCCCTGTGAACGGTTGCCCTGCTGTGGGCACACTGGTCGGGGCCACACCATTGTGCAGGGATGGCAGCAATGGAAAGTGCGTTGATGACGGCTGCGAGTTGCTTTGGGGCAAGGACATCTTGGTCCCACGCACCTTCTCTCCCACCGGCAGCATTGCCTGCAGGGGCGTCGATGACTGGAGAGAGTGTGACGGCAACATGGAGGGAAACAGCCTCTGTGTGGGAGGTGTAAAGGTGTGCTGTCCCTGCGGCTTTGCTTCACGCTGCACACCAGCCACAAGGGGCTGTGGCTGCAGAGGCTGTGCACCTGCCTCGATCGGACCCGCGGCATAGCCGTCAGCGCTGCAGGGCGGTACCGCCAGCGAGGTCTTGCCTTCCTGATGAAGCTGGTACTTGTGCCAGCGGATGAAGTGGGCAATGTGTATGTGTGCACAGTTTCTGGCAAAGCTCCTCTTCAGGCTCGCCGGCACAGGACCGGTCCTTGCACTCACGGCAGCCGCCTGGGGCGCCACACGGCCAGGGTCCGACCCCCGCCTTCCCCCAAGGCCACCCAACTGCATCATGGCATGCAGGTCCATGGCCACAGAAAGCGGAATCGCAGCAGTGCCAGAGGGCAGCCCAGCAGATGTTCCACCCACGCCGCCGAGCCCGGGCGCCGAGAAATCGGACCCCGGAGTGGCAATCTGATCCTTCGGCGCGTCCGGCCGATTCAACACATTGCCCAGCAGGCTCGTACGCCCCATGTACGCCCGTACGTACGCCCCGTGAAAGGCGTCCATGAGCGTCTTCAGCGACGGCTGCTGCTGCGATGCCGCCAATTCGCCGGCTTTCTGCTCACCCCCAGGCTTGGCCCCAACCTCCCCAACCCTGTGCCCGGCCTCGTGCCTCCTTCCCTCCCCCCCCAACGCCTTCCTGCCCCCGGTGCGCGTCCTCTTGGCATGCGGGAACCCCTCCTCGGCCGATGCCGCGCCGTCGCCCCGGCGCCTACCCAACAACGCTGACTCCCAGCCGCCGGCGCACATCTGCGAGTTCCCGATCGACTCCCCGTTCCCGCGCGAGCCGTCCAGGGCCGGCCTCTTCCACACCCCACCAGCCGGCCTGCCCCTTTGCATGTCGCGCCCAATCCTCCCCCCGCGCGCGGCCCTCTCTCCCGCCCCCGCGCCGTCCATCCAAGATGCGGATTCCCCGTCGCTGTCCGTGGCGTCCGACTCAGATCCGGGGCCCTCGATCGCGTCGCGCCGGGCCCTGATCGACCCAACGGGCACCGCGGGCGGCCTGCAATCCGCCGGGGTGTGCGCCGGCCTGGCCCCAATGCCGGCATCCCGCCTCCGGGAGGTGCTGCCAAAATTGTTGCGCCTTGTTGCGGCCTGGGGGTGGGGCCTGGTGCGGTTGTCCGCGGAGCCCTCGTCTTCTGGAGGCGCCGAAGGTCGGAAGAAGTTGGCCAGGCTGTACAGGGCCTCCGCAACCTCGCGCTCCTTCGGCGTGTCCACTGACACCTGGGTCCGCGGCAGACCAACGACTTCGTCAAAATCGGGGCTCCCCGGCCACGGGAAACTTTGCCCTTGGGCGCGGGGTCGCGTTCGGGCTGGCCGCAGGGGGAGGGGGCGGGAGATCGGATCCCGCCCGGGTGGCGACTGGCGCGGGGCCCATGCTTGTCAGCCATGACAGATACCTGTCAAGGCAGAGGAGGGGAGGGGGGGATTGCGAGCGGCGATTGCGTGGCACTCCAACCGCAGATGGCTGAAAATGAGCGGCGCAAGGGGAGTGGGGCTGAAAGGCCCGGCGTCTGCAGCCCGGGCTCACCTGAGGGATGCGCCCCTTCTGCGCAGGCAACAGAGAAAGGCGGTCAGACGCGGGCCGCGCGGCGATCAGAGCGCAGGAGCGGCGGCGACGATCGGGGGAATGCGAATTGTTGCGCAGCGCACCGTTGAGAAGAGCTCCCGGACGAAGAAGTCCCGCGACAGGTCCCTCGGGCGCCTGCGGCGGCCTGCGCGGCACACTGGCTGGTCAGGGGCGGTCGTTCCGCAGCCAGCGTCAGCGGACGGTCCACGCGTCAGAGGGCACCACGGCGCCGTGCGAGAACTTCCGGACGCGCGCGAATCGATATTATCGATCCACAAACAGCAGCAGCGGCGAGAAGGCGGCCTGCTGCGTGGCTGCCAGCCCGTGATCGCCGCTCGATGCCGAAAGGCGCGCACAACGGCGCGCCCTGTGGCCCGCACGGGCCACCAACGGGGCAAACCCTTCCACTAACACAGGCCACAACAGGAGAACGGAAATCGCGCGCAGGGCGGCGACAGAAACGCCCCTCGAGCCCCATGGCGCCGCTCAAATCCCCTCACCCCCGGCTCACCTGTCCGCTTCCCCCTCGGGACCGCCGCGCCCAACAGATCGGCCGGTGCGCGGCCGTCAACCTGCGCCAGCGCCACACGCTGCATTCAGCCGACATAAACCACCACGCAAACCAGCGCTGGCGCTGCCCAAGCCGCCTCCTGCGCGCGGCGTTCTACCCAAAGGCGCTCTCAGCCGATCGTCCCCGCGCCCGCCATCCTCGCGCTGCTTGCACCGAACCCACCTGATGACACCCATGTCGGCCGGACTTTACGCAGGGCTGCCCCTTGCGATCCCGGACCCTCGTCGAACCCTGTGGTGTCATGCCCGATGCCATTCGATTTCCCGGCTGCTCTGCGCCCCGGCCCGCCTTCCTTGGCCGGTGGGCAGGCCCTTTCTGACCTGGAGCCCGCCCCCTGGGACCGGCGTCCATCTCGCGCCGCCGGCGTCGCGCGTGACCCTGCGCGCGAGCGGGGCCCAAATGGCGTCACGCGCGAAATCGGGGCGCAGAAAAAGGGCAGGTCGAATCCGGAGATGTGGAAAAGGGAGTTGGGGAGGGGAAGGGGGACGCGGGCCCAGGGGAGGCCGGGATCGAACGGGGCCGACAACGGGGGTTAGGAAGGGTCGAATGCCGCGCGGAGGGAGCACAGCGCAGGTTCCGGGCATCGCCCAGGCTGGGCGGGCCGAGCGTCAGAAAGGATGCCGCAGGAAGGCAGCCGGGCGACCAAGGAGGCGCGGCAAGCCAGCGCAGGCCGCCGATCCCATCCCCAAGGCACTCACCGCTAAAACGATCGAACGTCCAGACAAGGAAAGGCACCGGCGCGCAATCTGGCCGCGCTGGGGGGCCGCCGGCGGTGGCCCTGCGCCTCCTGCGTTCTCGGGGGTCCCGATGGGCGCTCCTCGCCGGCGTGGGCGTGGCCCCGCGGATCACGTCTCGATATGGCACCCTGGCGGAAAGAAGCGCAGGGCATGGCCGTACCTCGCCGCCTGGCGCACCGGGCAAACACCGCGCGCTTTTCGGTCCAGTCAGCGCCCGTTGCGCGGCGGAAAACGTATCCGGAATCCGCGGAAGGCCCCGGGGCGGTCGTGGGGGCCGGGCGTCAGCAATCAGGGCATGCGGGTGCGGTGGGCGTCACGGCGGGGCCAAGGCCCCCGTTGTGGGACCTTGTGCGCCGCCGAGCAGGGGATTTTGTTACCCCTGCCAATGCTTGGGCTGGTACATTAGCGCAACAGTGCGAATCCACAGATTGCATTTGTCGTGTATTAGTGCAGTAGTGCGGCCGATTGCGATGTTGTACTACGGCCGGGGGGTGGCCAGTGGCGTGACCGGAGGTTGTGGACCTTTGGGCGCTGTTGGGGGCGGGAGAGGGGTACGGCAGGGAAAAATGCGCGTTGACACGACGGGCCCCGGGTCAGTGGCAATTTGGCGAGTGGCATTCTGGCAAGAGGATCGGAACCTGTCAGAACTGACCAGAAGTGCCGGCACGTCACTTCGTGTTAGGCTTGATTGCAGCGATGCGGTGTGAACTTGGGCCGCCTGCCTGGAGGCCTGTCGGCCTGGGCGCGAGCGAGGGGGCAGCGACGCGCAGGGCAGGGAACCACACTCCTCTAGGAGGGGAGCAGCGTAGCGGCCATTTTGTGCCGCCTGGAATCGAGGCCCGGATCGCCGACCCGCGCGAACAAGTGGAACTCCAACAATGGGTCTTCGGCGTGCGGTGTTTGGGTGCATGGGACGCAAGTGCCTGCTCAAGCGAGGGGGCCCTGAGCCCCTTCGCGTTAGCAAAGACTTTTCAGCTGCATTTGGCTGTATTCAATGGCCGTTTCACCACTTGGAGCCAAGGTTCCATTGGCCATGAATGCTAGTGCCGGAATGGGCCGGATCTTGGCTCACAGCAAGGACTACCAACCGGCGATCTTTGCAAACGTTTGCGCCTTGAAAGGCGTGTGCAGGCAGCCCCTGAAGTTCCCGAGCGCCCGACTTTTTGTCGCAACGTTTGCGCAGCCGGCCCATCCACACAGAGCCATGGCCATTCATGTGGCCACGGCGCCGAGCTTGAGAGCACAACGTGAGTTGCAAGCAGGTATCTCCTGAATGGATTCCAGCTGGAGTCCGCCCGCAATTGTGTGCCTAAAATGCCACCCGGCCACCCCGACGCTGCCATAGCCACCACAGCGCCCCCTGACCGCCGCCTTGGCGGCGCCTTCATCTTGCCACACGTTCATGGTTGGCTTCGCAGCCGGCCAGGCAATGGTGCGCGCCGCACTTTGTCTGCCCCCGATACGGCTACGACTCTCCTGCCAAAATGTCATTTGCCAAATCGTCGCTCACCCACCGCCGCCCGCCCACTTTTGTTTGGGAGGTCCGCGCCTTTCAAACGCTTTGAGTTGGTGATAAGGTTGGTTGATGCTCGTGCGTAAAGGACGCGCCCTCGACGCCCTCGACCCGTCAATCAAAATCACGTGATGGTCACCTTGGCTTCAGAAAGTTGCCCGTACATAAACGCTTCCCAAGCGGCAGAGGGCGCCTTCACCTTGAACAGCACATAAGAATGACCCGAACGTATTTTGGCTGTGATATGATAGTGACTGGTCCGTCGTTGAGAGATGGCTGTATGATTATAAAGGGACATGCCTGTCCGTGACCTATCTGTAACTCTGTACCCTCAGCTGTGTCCCCGAGCCCGTGGCGGTGCCTGCCTCCGACATAGTCCCACCCCGAACCTAGCGTATCAGGCTGACCTAAATTAAATGCTGGACATTTGGCTGGGCGACTCCAACCACGGCCGAGCGGTCGACGTGTTCACGACTTTCAGACCAAGTTCCCCCGACGTCCGTGGAGTGCCCGCACCACTCGAAGAGCGCGCCAACGGCATGGTGAGTGCGCGGCGACCGCCACCGCGCGGGCGCGCAGCAGTCGGGCCGACACATGCAGATTTGGACAGGGGTCGCGCGCAAACTCGGCCGGCAAATTGCATCCAATCTCCCCCGACTGGGCGCGCAACACACATCGACACACCGTGATCCGTTTTGACCAACTTGTCCCAAATGCGTCGGGAGGCGGGCCTCCGCATCTGCAAGGATTTGCGCGTCGGGATGCAAAAGCGGCCAGGCAGGAAGCTTTTGGGGAGCGACTTTCAGCTCCCCCTTGGCCGTTGCATGCGGCGCTCTGTGGCACGACGGCCGCTGAGCTCGCGTCGACGCGGTGTTTGATGTCCCCGCAGGCGATGCGCTGGCTGCCTTGCGTTCGCCTGTGCATTCCATTGCTGCTGGCGATCGTGGTGGTCGGCAAAATGACGTTGGCGGACACTGGGGCGAAAGAGCCCCGTGGGAACAAAGATGGGGACCAGCTTTCGCTTGCATGGCTCCAGCCGATGGCGGTGAGCATGGGCGTGAGCGGTGGCGCGGGCCTGGCTGTGGGAGCCACGCTGAAGGTCAGTACTTGACGGCCACTGCAAGCCCGGTGCGCAGTTGCCGCGAGTGCAGCGCGCCGTTGCCCCGGCTGTACTTTGCCATGCCGGGGTTCCTTGCAATGTCGGAGGTGGTTCCCGAACTGCGCTGTCTGGGTATGCTGCTTGCCAAGCTCTTTGTGTGTGGCCAGCTCATCTCGAGGACTCTGGCAGTTGCAGCTGGGGTGGTCATCATTGCTGTTCAGGTTGGTGTCCGTTCTACACTGTGCTCAACTGTCAATTCCAACTTTGGCACTTGTTTTTGCCTGGGGAGTGGTCAAGCTTTTGGCACTGAAAAAAGCTAGAGCGGTGCTCCCCGATAAGGTGGGTGCTGACCATCGCATGCAAGGTGCAAGCGCAGGCTTTTGTCCTGGTCTGCCTGCGCAACCACCAGATTTCAGTCCTGATCTGAGAGCGCCCCCTCATTGGTGTTTTTGGGGTAGGCTTACCTTTCGGTTGTTGCATTTGTCGACACATGTGACACATCACTGCCTTTGCTCTTGCCGAGGCAATTTTAGGAGTTTTCCAGAGAAGTTCCCCAACAAAAGTTTGGCAGTTGTGGTTTGGTGTGCATAAGTTCACTGTGTGTATGCCACGCCTGCCTTTTGCAATCATCTGGTCATGTTAATCGCAGTGATTTGGCTTTGGAAAACTGTGCATGCTGAGAGAGTACTGCATTATGGTAGACACCAAGAGCCCACTGTCGACTGATGTACTCAAGTTTTTGACTGCTTGATATTGGCCCAGCATTCTGTTGTCGCAAATTGTCACACTACTTCATAAACATGATACCATGCCTTTGCTCTTGCGTGCAGTGCTTGACATTGTGAATTGATAGCACATCGCAGGTGTGTATAGATATGCAGCTATTTGATTGAAGTGCTTCTTGTGAATTGGCAGCAGACTGTGTTCAGAGATAAATTGCTGCTTCGCCTTGTAATAGTTGGGTTGCTGTGGTGCCAGCACTGGCAACAAGTTTGTTGTGACTGACTCTGTATTAACACTGTAAGCTCATTGCTGATACTATATGAATACTTTGTTATTGGGGTTTAGGGTACATGAACCGCAGAGGAGCTCTTCACTTTCAGCAAATAGACACCATTTCAGCCAAAAGAGTGCATAACGGAATATTGCACTGAATGGATACCGCTGTGACAATCTTGTTTAGGTCCTTGTGTGGCAAGACCTCATCGAAGTGAAGTGGGCAAATGTGGAGTCTAAATTGAGGCCCTATGTCGATGTCGATGGGGATGGTGTCCTTACAGAAATGGATGTTCGACATTTGTTTGAACAGGGCGTAGGGGTGCTGTCACAGGTAATGTGAACTGCTGGCAGACAGCATGTAAAATCTGCAGTTTTGTGCTGTTCTGGTTTTGAAGAAAGCCTAATGCAGCAGCTGCAGTCCTGCCCCTTTTTGTGACTGAGCGATGCGTTTGCCGCAACAGAGTTAAGACATGGACAAGTGACTGAAAGCAATCTGTATCCCAGCGACTCACAGCCGTGTGCTAATGTTGTTGCTGGACTGTGGCTGTGTCTCTGCATATGGCTGTGTGAAGTTTCAACTCCATACGCCCACTTGCACACGATTGTGACACAATGCTGTCTATTGTCCCCTTCACCTACTCATCTCCTGAATGGATTCGGCATTGTCCGCTTGAAACTAGCAGAAAGGTGGAGAAAAGGGCCTTGTATGCCACTGCCAAGTTGGGTGTTACCAAAAAACTTGTTGTGTTGGGTCTTTCTGAGTGATGGGAATACTCGAAGCAAAAGATAGGCTTCCAGGAACCTTGTTATGACTTGCCCAAAAGAAACCTGCAAGTTGGGCCAGCAGTATTATGTGCAGGAATCCCTGGTCAAACCGATGAAGTGGTGTTGAAGGAGAGAGGCATTTGTTCATGGGTCACTGCACCAGACCATTCCAATATACAGCAATGGACGGGTGAAAATGCCCACTACCTGGTGAATGGCCAATGTGAGGTCTACTCATCGTCATTGTTGCACTGGTTGTACAGGGTTTGCCCAACGTGGGGGGCTTCCTGTCGGGCCTCTTGCTTGGAATGAAGTTGTTTTAGATTGCTG